AATGGCTGGACCAGTGTCTTGCGCAGTTTTGGCGGGTATTAAAACCCGCCGGAAGTCTTTACCTGTTCTGTGGTCATCGCCTGGCATCTGACACCGAACTCATGATGCGTGAACGTTTTAATGTGCTGAACCACATTATCTGGGCGAAGCCGTCCGGACGCTGGAATGGGTGCAACAAGGAAAGCCTGCGGGCGTATTTCCCGGCAACAGAGCGCATTCTGTTTGCCGAACATTATCAGGGGCCATACCAGCCCAAAAGTGACGGTTATGCAGCAAAGGGGCGCGAGCTTAAGCAGCACGTCATGGCCCCGCTGATTTCTTACTTTCGTGATGCGCGCGAATCACTGGGGATAACGTCAAAACAGATAGCAGAAGCCACCGGAAAGAAAAACATGGCTTCGCACTGGTTTGGTACCAGTCAGTGGCAGTTACCGAATGAGGCCGATTACAGTAAACTGCAGGCGCTGTTTGCACGTGTGGCGGCAGAAAAACACCAGCGCGGTGAACTGGAGCAGCCACACCACCAGCTGGTCAGCACATACAGCGAACTGAACCGGCAATATGCCAGCCTGCTGGAGGAATACAAATCACTGCGGCGTTATTTTTCCGTATCGGCTGTCGTTCCTTATACGGATGTCTGGACGCACAAGCCCGTGCAGTATTATCCGGGTAAGCATCCCTGTGAAAAACCGGCGGATATGTTGCGTCAGATAATTACTGCCAGCAGCCGTCCAGGCGATTTGGTCGCAGATTTTTTTATGGGGTCGGGGTCGACAATAAAAGCGGCACTGTCGCTGGGACGCAGGGCGATTGGCGTGGAACTGGAAGAGGAACGTTTTAATCAGACGGTCAGAGAAATAACGAAAGATTTTTAATTCAGTGATGATATAAGTTGTATATTTCTGATACAGATGTATACACATATTTAAAACTGAACACCAAATATATTTTTGATGCCCACACAATCATTGTTAGTATTTGTGACGACCTAAAGGTGGTCGTTTTGTGTTCACAGGGTGTTAATACCACCGGAAAGGTCAGTGCTGACTTCCTGGTGATCAGTTTGTTGATTCAGTAATAACCGGTCAGCAGTGTGATTCCGGAAGTCAGCATTTTATGTGTGAGGGTAATTTCTGCTACCCGCACTGGTAAACAAATGAGGCATATCGTTTCAGCACTGGCGAGTTTCGCGGAGAACAGGTTTTGCAAGCGCCTTTGTCGTTCTTCATTCTGTAATATCTGACTGATTACAGTTTCGGTGCTGTTTTTTACATTGTTAACGTTGTGTATCATGTATGGTTTTTATCAGAATGAGTCGCTGCCTGTTTCGGGGTCTGTGATTCGTCAGAATTACGTTGCAGGCTGACGAATCATTCTGGTAGTAACCATACAATTAAACGCTGTCTAATTCTTATACGATGAATGCTTTGGGCCCGTCTCATGACGGGCATTTTTTTATCCGTGCGCAATGCCTGTTCTGTTATGGCATTTTTCATCTTTTCCCGGTTGGCTATTATTATGTTTTATTTTTCTGTATACAGGAGAATTGAGACTGTGATCACATATGCAGACATTCGGGCAAAGCAGGCTGAAATTCAGGAGGCCAGACAGGAGTACATCCAGCGACTGCGGGATATGGCAAAAAGGCTGGTCAAGACCTATGAAGACTCACTGGCATTGCCGAAACCACGATGGCTGGATATTGAGGGTAACTCCCATCCCTATGTTTATCTTTCTCATGATAGTTGTTGTGAGAAACCGGAGGATTTGCAGGTAGATTTTCAGGATGGGGTTACTTTTAATTTATATACGGTTGTTGATGATGATCCCCGCCAGTCTGTAAGTGTGAATATTACAGTGAGTATTCTGTTACTTGATGGCGACAACATGACGATTTCGGTTGATGGTTATCAGGCCAGGACATTTTCGCATGTGGATACCAACGCAAAAATTAATGAAGTGTGCGAATACATTAAAGACAGCATACTTATGTCAATGAATGAAGTGACGTTTGGCAAAAAATCCCTTTCAGAAGTGAAAGGGTAAACCAGCTGACACTCCGCTGATTCAGAAAATTATCAGGCTGCGCACGTGCGTGGCCTTTTTCATATCTGCGCCACGCCCGGCGCACATCAAAAAACCACAGAGCCTTTCAGGGGGGAGCTTACGGGATGGTCAGTGTGACTTTCTCTGTGGGCTGCTCATCCCGGGGCGAGGCTCACCCACTAAAAGGAAAAGTCACGATGTTTGGTATTTTCAAAAAGAAAACCCGTAAGGCTATTACTGAAGTGAAGAAAACGGAGAACCGCGACGCGGTGGAGGCGACCGTCTGGGGCGCGTATTCCATTGCATACGCTGACGACACCTGTGACGCGAAAGAAATTGCGGTACTGGAGAAAACCATTGCAGCACTTCCTGCCTTTGCGCCGTTCTCCGGTGAGATTGCCCAGATGAGCGCGAATATCCGCGCCCGTTATGAAGCATCGCCGCGTTCTGCCAATGCTGAAGCCCTCCGTCAACTGGCTGATGTCGCCGGTACTGATGATGCCGTTAATGTGCTGTGCCTGTGTCTGGATATCGCAGACCAGGATGGCATTGGTCCGGATGAAGAAGCACAGCTCAAGAAAATTGCTCAGGCGCTGCAGTTACCGCTGGAGCAGTACCTGTGAAAAGCGCACGCCTTGCGCTGGCTGCCGTCCTGCTGTTTCTGGTAGTGGCGGTGGATTTCACCGGACGGCTGATGTCGGTACTGGCTGATGGTGTACTGGTGGCGATGGCGCTGGTCGTGCTCCGGCCTTTATTCCGGAACAAAAACAACAGCTGATTATTTGAGCGGGCATTGAAAGCCCGCTGCATTTTTATTGCTGCTGTTCCTTAATGCGTTCCGGTAGCACAAATGCCACTTCAAGGAACAGGCGGAGAAACGCCACAAACTCTTTTGCCTGTTCACCACTGGCCTCGAGCTCGTGCACAGCCTCATTGCCTTCCATACGGATTCGGTGAGCCCAGTTTCTCATTGATTCCGTCAGTATGCCGTCCTGCCGTGCCAGTTCAATGCGTGACAGCAGATTGCCTTTTTCGTACCCCAGGGCACGGAGGGCAACCTCGAGGACGCTACGGCAGCCAACAATGATACGCGGGGCGGTTCTGCCGGACCGAACATCCTCCTGCAACTCGGTGAAGACTGCGCGAATTTTTTCGGGATAGTGGGGGGAGTCATCGGGCAGCCTGAGTTCAGGATAGATTTTGATGCTTCCCTCAAGTGGAGCATTCAGCACCCAGGCTTTGTTGTTGATGGCTTTTTTCATGTCCACCAGTTCACTGACTGAACATTCGAATGCGATCATTAATGGGTTGTTACATTCTGTGCAAAAGTCTGTTGAGTATGCTTTTGCTGATGTTATTTCAGAGGTGCGCGGCTGTTGCACGTAAAGCTTGTTTTCTGTAGCCGGGCGCCTGCTGTGGTACTGGGTGACCTCATTCAGAGAAATATGAACCTGATGAAGGCAGTACGGGCATCTAATTTTCAGGGAGTACATATGACCTCTTCGACAGAAGTGATAACTGAATTTGAAAATTGCATAGCAGATTCTGCCATTGATTCTGTAGCAGCGATAGAACGAAGGTTTGCTGCTGCTCAGACCCGGTATGGTCATGATGCAGCCGTCAAAGGGCTGGCAATGGCGTTTGTTATTGCGGAGAACCGCCGTCGCTTTATTGAAGCGCAAATGACACTAAAGCAATAAATAGCACCACACAAAAGGCATCTGTGGGTGCCTTTGACGGGGTGTTTTTTTACGGGCCGACAGCGGCCCTTTTTTATTTACAGGAGAAAAAGTATGTCTGAACCCTTATCCGGTTCCGGCACGGCTGCGGCGCTCGGCGGGGCGACGGTATTCGGGCTGTTTACCGGAACGGATTTTCGTATTGTGTTTGGTGCATTCGCAGGGGCGCTGTTTGTGGCCACGATACCACAGAAGATTTCTGTCTGGCGTGTGGCAGCGCATTTTCTGGTGTCGTTCATTGTTGGCGTGCTGGGGGCGGATGTGATGGCGTCTTACCTGGTTGAAAAACTGAATCTCCACAGCACATCTCTCGACGCGCTTTGCGCGGTACTGGTATCGGTGGTGTCGGTGAAGATTCTCTCATTCATCCACCAGCAGGATATCGCATCGCTGGTATCCGGGCTGTTCTCCCGTCTGCGGGGTGGAGGCGGTAATGTTAAGTAACCTTCCCGGATTACTGAATGTGGTGTTAAGCACGGTTATCGTGCTGACGCTCTTTTTTTATCGTCGTGGTGATTCCAGACATAAACCGCTGATGTCATGGCTGGCCTGGCTACTGATGCTGCTTTATGCCTTTGCACCACTCAGCTATCTGTGCGGTCGCCCGTTAGCGGCGAACTGGCTGGCGGTGGGGCTT